AGACCAGTTTTTAAGAATAGGATTAAGTCACTTTAAACAGTCTGTATGGCTATAATGTCAAAGATGGTGGTTAAATAAATATATAAAAACCGTAAGTTGGCCTCTTAATTCCAAAATGGTGTCAATAATCAATTTCCGGTTTCTACACGTCGTTGCTGTTTCGAAAATACCCATATTGTAGAGTATTCGCCAGTTTTTCACAAACCGGAAGTCGCCTTATTGGATTCCAAAATGGCGTGACTTATCTATACGTCATTACCGTTCCGAAAATATGTACCTATATTGTTCGGTGAACCCACTCGAAGTACACTTCCCAGTTTGTTTTTTGGCCAAGTCCATTCCTTAGAAAACACTTAGAATTTGTTAGCACTTTTTAAAAAAGAGGCTGTTCATAAACTACGTAGACAGCTCAGGAGGGAGGGGGTGGCAATCATCCACAGCCCATACAAATTTTAATTTTTTTTTATTTTTTGTCTACGCAGGGGGAGGGGGGGGGGGTAAAGAATCCCAAAAAATTGTTTACGTAGTTAATGAACAGCTCCAAATCGTAGTAAAAAAACGTGTAAAAATAGAATGTGTGAGTGTACATTGGAATTAAGTATTGTTATTGATTTTGATTGAAGCAAAGAATCCACTTGGGTAAATGGGTCATGACTACGATAGAATTTGTCTGTCCAGCGTCATTCCCTTTCCCAAGAAATTCTCAGCAGAACATTTTACAAAATTCTTGGATTTGCTTCTAATATTTATGATTGTCCTAAGAATGCGCTGAAGATTTCTTTCATGATTTGCATTTTTTTTTAAAAATATTTATGCAATTAATCTCAGAAATGTCTCAAAATTCTGCTCAGAATAATATATCGCATCACCTCTGAAATTAATTAAAAAAATCTATTGGAATTACCCTCAAATTTCCCATGGAATTTTCTCTGAATAATATTGAAATTTACTTGAAATGTCCTTGGAATTTCCTTGAAATTATTTTCACATTGTTCCTTAAAAATTCGATTCCATTGACATCCGTGTTAAAATCCCCTATGAACTTAGTTAAGAATTCTCTTAAAATTATGCTCAGAAAACACCCCAGAATTGTTTTAAAATCGTCCTCAAAAGTTCACAGAACGCTATCTCTTGGAGTTTACTTGGAATTCTCTACAGAACTATATTAAAACTGTTCTCAGAAAATATGTTGAATTCTCCTCCTATCCTCAACTAATTCTTCTTAGAACTCTTCATAAAATGTACCTGCAACCAGGGCTGGAAAGCACCTCAGAACGTTAGCAAAGCAACTTTGTGCATGTATCTCACAACACTCGACAAAGAGTGTGTGGTACCTCCATTTACTTCGCACACTCTTTTCCAACTAATCCGTGAGAATGCGATCCACACAATGAGCGGTACACTCCGTGCGGCGCAGGGAGCGAATATAATACAACAAGCGCTTATGTCTTCTTTGAATTCTTTGCACACTTTGCTTACCACAACTGCATGCATAGGAGATGAAGACGGGCATAACAAAGAAGAATTTTCTCTTTTTGCTGTGTTTCCCACTTGCAATCCTACACTGAGTGGCGCTCTTTGCGTCGGAGTCGTGGGAGCGATGGCTACACATTGAGCTTTCGTTATTTCTGGGTGTGTGTTTGTCTTCTCTTCTCCGCTGCTTTACACTTGAAAAATAATCCAACTTTGAGTTTGCTTGATTATCACTTTGTATATTTCAGAAAATCAGTACATTGCGCGCACTGAGTGATCAGATGACAGCCCTGCCTGCAACTCTGCTCACAATTACCTTAGTATTTTTATCCTTAAATTGTTTTGGAGTTATAGTCAGAATTTCTTTTGAAGTTCTTCCCCAAGTTTCATACCATGCATTCCTGGGTTGAATATTGCCTAACGTTGGACAGTTTGATGTTAATTAAATATAATAAGATTGTTACATAATTATCTGTTAGTGGTTATCTCTATGTCCTCCTTAGGATAATTCTTGAAAATTTCCGAAAATCTGTCCCACATGACTAGCATGGAAAAGTTTTTTTGGTCCAGAATTTTACTTTTATTTTAATTTTTCTTCGGAAAAAGGATGAAATATATTTTTACCGATTAGTCATTCAAATTCACGGGCTATTCGTGGTTTTCTTCCGGTGTTTTAGAATTCCCGCCTTTTTTATATGTCCCCTATCACTGGTTATAATTCTTTATCTTTTGACAGATACGCATATTTCACAACTACTTGTAGACTTCCTCACTGCCAAGTATTCGCGCATCACTGGCATGACATGGCAAACATGACCCTGTTGAACATTTAAACATTTTGATGTGAATTTCCAATTTCAAATTTTTCGCTCTCTAAGGTTCCCCCAAACTGGTTACCGCGGTAGCGAAATTCGCGCGGGTACCCACAACGGGTATACATAACGAGTTGGTATATCTTCAGAAAAATTCGTAGATCATCAAAAACTTTGCAGAATTTCAGAGCTTCAGAAATGTTGATAGATCATTAGAGAAATTTGCAAAACAGCAGGGAAGCTCACAGAACTTCAGGAAAGTTCGTGGATCATCAAAGAAATTCAAGTTGAAGAGTGAAAAAATATCTTCCGAGGAATTTGCGAAAGCTCAAGGAAGTTAATAGAACATCAAGGAATTTCGTAGAACTTCGGGGAAATTTGAAGAATTTCATATCTGTTGCGTGTTGAGCTGTTGCATATTTCCAGAACAATGATCATATTAAAATCTTGGGCATTTAGGATTATTTCTGAGCATGCTGGTATCTTTCAAGATTTTCTAGGACAGTCTATTGAAAACTCACTTTGACTCCGCTTTTAGTATTCTTCGAATATTTCAGATGAATTATCTCAGGAATATTGTTTCAGTTCTGCTAAATGCTGCTCCTATGGAACTCACCTATGAATTCATATGTCATACTCCTAAGAAATTCATTTCAATTAATCTAAGAACTAAATTTATTTTTATATTCACTATGGATTTTCTCCTTCTTTTGGAATTCAACTAACTGTTTCTAAATTCTCCTTACAAAATAAATGTAGTTCTACAAACATATTCCTTAGATTTAGCATAGCATATGCAATTGTACAAATCGTGGGTGGTCAACTATCATTACAAATACCTTAGATTTCTCTTCGGGCAGCTTCTTTGAAGGGCAGTGAGTTCATAGCAGTTTACCGATCTTTGTACAAGTTGAGAGAATCCCATATAAATTCGAGAAAGTTCGCAAACATTCATTGAACAGCAAGGAATTTTGTAGAAGTTCAGGCAACTTCATAGAAGCTCTGCTAGAACATTGAGAATTTCTGGGGGATTCAGGGAGTTTTGTAGCTGGGAATATTGTAGAAATTCCAATGATGGTCTGAGATCTTGGTGAAATTTCAGGGAAGAGTAAATTAAATTTACAAGTTCAGACATCTTTGAAAAACTTAGTTGTAGTTTGTGTGATTCCAAAACCATTCAATAGCGTTCAGTGGGCTACAAGACCTTTCATTTGGCTGTGAGTTTGTCCAGATCGGATGAGTGGTTGCCGAGACATGAGCGTATTAATTTCGTTACACACACACATACACACAGACATTTTTCGATTTTCGATTTTTGCCATTATGTATTTTGAATATCACTTTCGGTACAAAAACACCAGCACACAAGAATAAAAACCGCGCTTCTTCGGCGGCAAAATCGCTGAATCAGGCTATAGCCTTGTTGTCCTCTGCTGTCCGAAGAAGTCGTCTCCACTCTACTCGATCCATGGCCACACTTCACCAGCCTCGTAGTCTGCGAAGGGTCCGCAGGTCGCCTTCTACTTGGTCGATCCACCTTGCCCTCTTCTTCTTGTTCCTGTTGGGTCGCTTTCTAGAACCATTTTCACTGGGTCGTCGTGCGGCATTCTTACGACGTGCCCAGCCCACCGTAGTCGCGGCATTTCTGCGACGTGCCCAGCCCACCGTAGTCGCGGCATTTCTGCAGAACCTGCCGAATCGCGAAAATTCGGTCCGTGGTAGCGCGGGCACCCATGAATCCCGCCTGGTATTGCCCCACGAACTCTCTTTCAAATGGTGACAGGCGGCGGCATAGAATTTGGGAGAGTACCTAGTAGGCGGCGCTCAGTAGTGTGATCGCACGGTAGTTGCAGCACTCCAACTTGTCGCCCTTTTTGTAGATTGGGCATACGACCTGTACCTTCCATCCACTCCTCCGGTAATATCTCCTCCTCCCAAATCTTGGCAATTACCCAGTGCAGCATTTTTGGCGAAAATGAGTTTTACATTGGAATTGATATTCAAGTACCATAGCTTCACAATGAACAGGAAAAGTTTCCTACTATGGTCAGAAAATACCTAAACAACGTTGTCCCATCTATAAGAGCCCATGCTTGAAACCTGGCTACGTCCTTGGGTACAAGCAACGTTATTTTTTTTAGAAAATTGATGCAAGAGATATTTAGGAGGAAATTTCATCTTGTATAACAAAATTTCAAAAAACCTCATCACGAACCAGCCAATGTCTCTTTAATAAAATAATCTAACCTAGCCTAACGTTATCACGAAAGAATTACATAAATTAATTGCCAAAATTAAAAGTTATAGCCTCTCAAAGTGCCCTGGGATCAAATTGACCCCAAGGTGCAGACAAAGGTTTAAACATAAAACCTGTCGTACGATCCCTAAAACTTCCTCAAACATAACCAATTTCAGCACTGGCTTAAATAGTTAGGTTACGAATCTTGCAGGAAGGTGGCTGACATGATCGTACACATTTTTTTCCAAAATGAAACACACTATTAACACATGCATAAGAAAGCGTGCAAACGCAAACATAATCAGAGGTCAAGGTAAAATTTTATTTCAAATCACAAAAAAAAATGGTCAAGGCTGTTGAAAACCAGCATTCAGAAAGAGTCAATTTCGCCGAAACACCTGCAACAACCCAAGCGACTTGACAGCACCATAATGCTGCACAACATTTTCCCGTAAACTTCTATAAAATGAATTCACCTGTGCATCTTCCTCGTCGTCACTGTTGTGGATGGAATCGTAGGGCGAGTAGAAATTTCCCACACTCTCGGTTCGCCCACTAAGTGCAGCATTAAGAAACGGTGCCAACAGAGGAGTTCTTGATTCTGCCGCTGGATTGGTTAGTGCTAGAATAAATTTAATATCATTGCAAAGCATAGCCAAAGAACGTGAAAGCCACTTACCGACATAGTAGTTCCTAGCGTAGCGTTCCTGGGGTATCACGCGGCAATCTAAGAACCATGCTTCTCCCCATGCAAGAACGAACGAAACAACGATCAGCAGAACCTCAAAAACGGGCTGTGGTGTCGCTGTCCACTGGAGTGATTGAAACAAAAGCATACGAGACAAAAATTAGGCGAAATGAACGCCGGCTTATCAACACACAGCTGACTTACATTGTACACAAACACTTTGTAGATTAAAAAGGCGCACGAACCGGTAGTGGATAGCTGGAACGAGAGGAAAGTCGATTATCGAAACGTTGCGAGCAATACTGATACAGAAAGTGACGCATCGTTCTATTGAAAATACAAATTTTTTTACAGGATCAAACTTACCGCGATCACAATCCAATGATTCAGATGACACAATCCATAAAACGAGATTAAAAACAAGAACCGCAACATCGCAGACACAACGACGTCGAATAGCGATGTGTAGATGGTATAGTGGACGACTTGGGTTTGCAGAGCGTGAACGATATTATCACCGGTTATCTGAAATTTCATAATGTTTAAGGTGAATCGCTGTGGAAACCTTGAAATTTCAAAAACACAAATACCAGCTTTCACAAAACATACAACAATGAAACTAGAACTCCATGTTTGCAGCAGTGCAGCAAACAGTTGGTTCCAATTTCATGACCGATGTCTATGCAGGGTCCGAGATGTGTGCTTTAGAAATCTTGAATTGATAGGGTATATCAGCGCGCCATTATTGGACTCTTCCAGAAATCACCTTAAACTAATGACTCAAACCTTTAAAAGCTGTACCAAAAGCTTACCATCACACAAATGATCCACAGCAGTGAGATGAAAACAACATCGAAGGTAACAAACAGGCAGAAAAATCTGCGAACAACTGACATTCGTCCCTCGTCCATGTAGCCGGCAATGAAATCCTCACTCAAAAGATTAACCATATGGGATTGGGATCGTGGAACTGGAAAAAGTAAGAAAAATTAATGAAAATAAAACTCACCCACCAGATGATTCTGAGCGACAAACGCGATCCTTACGTCCTGAGGTAACCGGCATTCCCGAGGAACTAGCGCCATACGAGTGATGTGATAGTGGTGGTGCAGGTGCAGACGGTAAGAACTGTTGATGCTGCTGGTACATTTGATACTGTTGGCTGTACATCGAATGAACTGCTGATCGAATTTCATCGTCAGCGTTCATTATGGCAGAGAAGCACGGATGGTGCTTCCTGCGGCTACTGTAGTTGGTGCTGACGGGCTACACGAAATCTGTGCAAAAGGGGGAGATTGGCAAAGTACCCGACACTGTTAGCTTGAACATGGGATCCATTTATTTTTTTCAACATTTATTAACAGAGAATGAGAGAAGATGATGATAGATTGTGTAAATAATGGCGAATTGCATATGAACAATAATTTTTCCATATTTTATGTAATGTATTCATAAGATCTAATGGTCTTGATGTACCTAACATTTTAGCAAAGAAAATATCCTCTAAAGGGCAATCTTACCACGTCTAAAATCGTTTTGATTTTTCTAAAAATATTGGAAAAAAAAATCCGAAAATCTAAATAGCAGCTTACAGCAAACTCCTGTCAAAAACAATTTGCATTTATTTTGCTGGAAGGATTGCTGGTTTTACAGCTCGACAAAATCCAGCATACTGGTTTCCAGTAAAATAAAAATAGTATGTACGCATCCAGAAATGATCCTAATGCTCCCAGAGAAGTGATCAAAAACAGACTTGAAGCAACATTCGTTGTGCGGTGGATCAAATCCATGAGCTTTAAATGATTCAAATAGTTGTAATTATAATTAACTGCATACACAACCGCTAATTATTTTTTTTGCAGCTTCGGGGAAATTGCCAATACCAATCATGAACTTTATAAGTGACTAAATTAGATTTCATGAATTGAGAGTCCTATTCATCAGGTCAGATTGGCTTATTATAATAGTCCTCTAAAACCAACCATCTAGGGAAAAAAAAAAAACCATTGGAGTAGCTAACGGGCGTGCCAAGGGGGGCAGGCCCCCTCCAGAAATATCTAGCCCCCATCGGCATTTTGCCATGCAGTTTCGAGGTAACTTTTTATTTTTATTGGTTTTTATGAATGTCTACCTTACTATAAGAAACAATGTTGAGAACGAGGTTGATAATCTGTTCTAGCAACCGAGATCTTCACAGGATTCATCCTCAAGTACATGTCCCCACCGGAGCTGGTAGCCGGAAGGGAATATCTATTCGCTTGCTCTAAGCATCTGGATGCCCAGTACTACGGTAACAAGATCCTGGTCAATTTCATTACCATTGCAAAGAGAAAAGTGCCCTGCAGAAAGCCATCATCAGAGTGATTTAAGAAAATAGCCAAAACTTCAATGAACTGGTAGAAAACGAGATTATTTCCTTATTTGAATATTGCATCCATTTATTTTCTTCATTCATTGTTTTCGTTTCGTTATCGAACTGACATTTGCATGGTCAAATTCCAAAACTATATGCCCTACTAATTCTGTTTCGTCACAAATTAGATCAGATCCCAGAGCAAACCAGAGTAGCTTTGAGCAACGCTGAGTACAAGGCGTACTCAAATGAAAGCCGTCTTCCCCCATTTAATTCAGGGACCATCGTAGAAATTAACGAAACTTAGTAGAAATTCAGGTAACTTCATAGAGCTTCAGAAAAAAAAATCGTAGAAACTTAGGGAGCTTAGGAAAAGTTCAGAAAACTACGTACAAGTGGGAGCTCTAAAGGCTGACTAAAAGTAAATTGGTACGCCCCTCGCGCGCCGCTAGCACGCCTCTGGTGTTGGGAATCAAAAATCTTTGACAGTGGTTTGTTTACACTTCTATAGAGAACAACTGGTGCAAGTTTGATCAAAGTAATCGATTTCGTTCAGAAACAACGTCAAATGGAATTCGAAAGAAGAAAACATACTATGCACAAACACCTGGAAAATCTGGAGTGGTCCGGTTCCAAGCTGGCTAAAGTGCTGAAGATGCCGAAAACAACAATTTTTCGAATGTTCAAAACCTACAAGGAAACACTGAGTGTGGATCGTCAGCTGCACAGCAAACGGTGCAGAACATCCTTGCCAGGGAACGATACAAGTCGTACAAAGCCACTAAACATCCGAACCGGCACATGAAGCAGAATTCCGTGGCCAAAAAGCGTGTATGACCGTGTTTTGACAAAACGCAAGGGCTACTCTTTGATCGATGACGAAACATACGTCAAACTCGATTTTAAGCAGCTCCCCGGTCAAAAGCTTAACATCGCGACTGGACGTGGGTATGTGCCGGGAAGATTCAAGTTCGTGTTTGTCGACAAATTCGCGAAGAAGGCCATGATTTGGCAAGCGATTTGCAGTTGTGGCCTGAAAACGGAACCATTCGTCACATCCAAGACGATGACATCCCAAATTTACATCGAAGAATGCCTGAAAAAGCGTGTATTGCCGTTCATCCGTAACCATAAGGGCAAAGTCATCTTTTGGTCCGACTTGGCCAGCTGCCACTACTCCAAGTTGGGTAGATCGATTTTGTCTCCTAATGAATCCTCCGAATTGCCCGGAATTTCGACCAATCGAAAAATACTGGGCATTTTCAAAGCAGCGACTTCGACGAAGCGGCGGGGCAGTCAAGGACATCCAGCAAATGCGGGCAAAATGGAAGAAATGCGCTGATTCCGTGTCCGTTTCCACTGTGCGGGCGCTGATGGGCTCCATCAAGAGGAAGGTTCGAGATTTCGTTCGAACTGGAAAAATGTAGCCATCTAATGCTGTGACTTTGAAGTTTTAATGAAAGTTCTGTAAAGCAACCATGAATGGACTTTTTAAACTTATTGAATCACGAATTACAGGTCTTTTTGTGCGTACCAATTTATTTTTAGTCAGCCTTTATTTAAGTTGAGGAATCTTCGTAGAAGTTAACCCGAAAAAAAATAACAACAAAAATACATTAAAAAACAATGTAACAATAAGACGAAAATTATTGTCTTAACAATGATTTATATTGTTAGGTCTACAATAAATTTACCTTGATTTATGTTGTACAAAACAATAAATTTCATGGTAAATGGAAAATTTACAATAAAAAAGGGGGGTTGTTAAGTATCTTAACAATGAAATTTTCGTGATTTTCCCATATAATTTTTTTTCAATAACATTATATATTATTGTTATTTTACTGTTGGTTGGCGAATTTATTGATTAAAAAAAATAACAGTGTACTTTAGAGTGTATGCGTTGGCTTGACAGATCTACTTTATCGACTTTAAAAATAAATCGAAAAAATAAAACATTGCCCCGGGAAGGGGGTGGTATGTCTGTTTACGAGTGGTCCTTTTTTTACTGGTTATGGATCGAGATTCGATCCGGAACTTGTGAGAAATGCAGGCCAACTCCCCTGCGCTCGATATCCCTAGGTCACGTCTCCTTGGTGGTTGAGCGTCGTTGATAAGTTAATGCATTCGACTGGAGAGAATCGCCCATGAAATATGCTTCCACCTGAGAGTTCTTTCCTGACATCTTCAAGTGGTGGAATTTTTTATTATTATTGTATGATTATTGACTGCACGGAAAAGGTCTCCATTAAGCTTTAGAGAGGGTCTAGGATAAGATATGAGCGGACGCGGACTGCCTGGTTTTGAGCCAAACGAACTGTCAAAGCCAGAGCCATACGAGCAGCGCCTATCTTAATTACATTGGCAGTGTTGCTGACCCTCTCATAGTCTGCATGCTTCAATCAGATTTATTTTTATTGTTCGTGAAGTAACCCACAATGAAAATACACCAATATTTAATGTAACAACAATTTTTATTGTAATAGAGTTGTTCATTATTGTTCATGATCGAATCATGTTAACAATAAAATAAATGAAAAATACGATAAAAAACATTGTAACAACATTTTATTATGTACATTCATTGTACAGCTAGGTAGCAGTTTTGCCGTTTTCGGAAGAGTACAACATTATAACAATCATTTTTATTGTCGACAATAAATATTAATGTTAGAGCATTGTTTCCACTGAAAATTTCACTGTATTTTTTTTTTTCGGGAAACATTATTTAATTTCAAGAAACCTCATTTTTGTTCGGGGATCTTCTTATGATTTCACGAAACTTTTTGGAAGCCTCATGAGCTTGGGATAGTTCGTGTAATTACCTACAAGTTCAGAAAATTCCATACGTGGAACTTTGCGGAAAATCAACGAGAAACGTAGAAGTGCAGCAAAGTTTGGAGAAATTCGGGAATTTCGTTACATTTTGAGAAGTTTCATAAAACTTCATATAAGTGTAGGGTATTTTGAAGAAAGTCTAAAAATAGTTCAGCAGACTTCTAAGACCTTCAGCGATCCTCGCTTCAGTTTAGGGAACTTCGTAAGTTTCAAGGAACATTCCAGGTGTTCAAGAATATTTGTAGATGATGGGGGTCTTTCCAGAAGTAATCGTAAAATGACAGACAACCAGACGTAACACTTCATTGTGTATCTTCGTCCACGCATATAACGGTTGATTTGAATATTATCAGTTCCGCGAACTACTCGCCACATTCTATACATTCTATAGAACTTTTATGCAATATTGTTTGAGAGTTAGCGACCAAGCTTGTTTTCCGCGAGAAGCCCGACAGATGTCGTTACTGAGGTCCTATGCTTTGAGATACTATGTTTTCAAGAAAAACTTTTTCTAAGCGTTACGTCTGTTTGTCTGTGGTAAAATTAAGAGGGATGAAAAAAAAATGGAATTTGGAATAAATTCAATGAACTAGAAATTGAGGAAATTTTGTAAAACTTAAGGGAGTTTTGTAGATGTTGAGGGAACATTGCAGAGGTTACAGTATATTCTTTCGGGCATCATTCCTTAACAGTAGGTTATATTCAAAAGATCTCCAGATAGAGGAAGATATTAGGAAAGTTCTTTGAATATTTTGTCAAAACTTCTGGTTGATCGAGTTTTGAAGATCTCCAACTGTAAGAAAATACAAATGAAGACCCTCGTATATTATTTCAAGTCTGCAGGTTGGTAAGAAAGTATTCAAAACCAAAAGTATTCCAGCTAATAGAAACTTATGGAATCTTGAATGATGGATCTAGATGTTATGGACATATTGGTACATTTTCTATAGGGAAGACTGGTGATTTAGCTATTTTGTCAATAATTAACACTCGGAGACGAACCAGCTCAGGGCTGAAAGTCTCCTTAAGAAAGTTATAAAAAAATGAACACTACCTTCTATTATGTGTGTTTTGATAAAATTAAAA